AGCTGCTATGCATAATTCCAACACATTGCAATGACGGCTCAAATCACAAGGGCTTCCTCCACTCTCTATCAGAGTGTTGTGAAAGAGGAAAATAATCCCCATTTGTCTCCTCTTCTTCAAAATGACTATGGATTGGCCCTCTAATGAGTTTGGTTTTTGTTCAGTGTTAAGTGTTAAAAGGACGTGTTGGATGAATGCGAGTGTGAAAATAGCAACTACACACTCATATATAGGGGAAAATGACTCAGAGAGAAGAGCAAAAGAGGAAGAGACAGAAAATGAGGTCTGCTTCAGTTCACTGCAGAAAAAACTAAAATGTGAAATGCTTTAGACACCCATTAGTGAACACCACAAACACCTCACTGTACTGATGTAGTCCCGGAGCAGGAAACATTTCTGTTCAGTGAGTATGTCAGTACAAACAAAATTGGGTCCTAAAAAGCCAACAAGGATTAAATGAAAATAAAACTTAAAAGGAGGAGATAAAAGGGAGGAAAAACACCCGCACAGTTAACAGCAAAACAGATCAAATATATAGATAAGTTATAAATACACATGTAAATATATCAATAGCTAACCGCTACAAAAAATGATTTTCAAATATCATGTATTAAAAGCAGGGGCGCCGCTAAGGGAGTAAAAGTTAGGACGATTCTAAGGGCCCACACACTTTTAGGGGTCTCAGAGATCGATTTTATTAATTGAACGGGTGCAGTAGTAGGGGCCTTACCTCATATTTTTTCCATGGGACCCAAAATCCCTGGCCGCACCCCTGATTAAAGGGACAATGTGTAGTTTTTTAAAAGTATTTTATTATCTAAAAATCAATGTTTCTATTCATAAAAATACCTCTGCCAATTATCTGACTTATCCTCGTAAACAAATAATTTATTATCTTTATATACATGGGACGGGTAGGTCCACGGAGGCTTCCATGTAGTTCTGCCATTTTGAAAAATTATAATAGCAAAGAGGGACAAAAGGTACTAGGCCAACGCCTTTTTTGTTCAGAGCCAGTGTCACGTGACTGAAAGCAACTGAACCGGACAAGAATATTTGAAAGACGCTTGTCACTGCCACGGTTTAAAAGGCTGGAAAGAGTTGATGCAGGAGAAAGCTTTCAAAATAGACGCTGAACTTGCCTGCTTTCTTCTTAACAGGCAAGTCAATGTTACGGTCGAAATTACAAGCTTTTTTTCATTGCTTGGTTACGTCTCTGCCTTTGGAAACTCAATTCTATCAAATGTCCATTTGTTCGTTGTGTCAAGTTGCAGTTTGTTTGAAATAATCGAAGGAAAACTATGTAGTCTATGGGTGCTATTAGAAGACATCCTGTCATAGCTTTTTGGTACATAACGGCCACCATAGACACAAAACACATTTGAAAAAAGCAATTACTCCTTTGAATATACAATTTCACCATTAGATGGGAGAAATTCGAAAATATTGTATTTTTGTCCTTATATATTTAAATATAACTTCTGATCTGTACATGAAGAAGAGATGACCTCCAAAAAGGCCTGTCAATTATATTATCAGTATGATGAATGTGTGTAGGCTATATATTATAATTTATTCATTTATCTATACTCCAATCAACTTATTTTAACCCATCTTAATTCAGTCATATGTATTCCATCATATGTATGAAATCACTTCTATCTATTTATTTTCCTTATTATTTTTAAATATCTTTTGATCAGTACATCATGCTTGCTAGTTACAAAAAAGCCATGACCCCAAAATTCTTTGTCAGTGCATCATAAACTGCACCAATCGCTGTATACAGTTCATAGTTGTAAAAACCGTTATGTATTTGTTATGTTCAACTGGAACCCTGATGGAGTACACCACCTGAATACTGGCCCCTTTTCTACAGTGCAGGAGAACCTCTTGATGTTTACCCTTCTTAAAACCCGCAGAACACACAGAGGTAACGGGCAGCCCTCCCTTTGTGTACTTTAAATAGAGAGGTGCTGCAATTCAAAGCCGCAGGAAGAGAAAATGTGCATTGCACTCACAGATACACACACATTGATGAGAAACCACGCAGACATAGTGCTCAACAGAAAATCTATGAATATTTTATGATGTTGCGGTCTTCAAAGTGTGACTGCTGCCTCCCTCTCTGATGTTCTGAACAGAAGACAACACTCAAAGGATGCCCGGGACAGATAAATGCAAAGGAGAGGAAAAGGAAGAAAAGTCTAAAGCAAGCAGACAGAAGGAGAAATAAACATTGGATGGATACTGAAAGAGAGACAGAGGCAAGTGTTGTAGGTGTTAACGCTTGGTGTGAAAGATGAGCCTGCCACCAGCATCTCCCAGCCCGATGAATTAGGGAGGAAGTTCTCCTGCAACATTTCCCTCTCTGCCAAAACACAATCTCTCACTGGCCATTAGGGTGATTTGCTAGATCTTTACTAATTGATAATCACGTTGAAGAGAAGCCATCAGAGGCGTACTCCCAGGCGCTGACATTTCCTGGCTGGAGTAATGACTAGGTGACATTAGTGGGAGACCTTGCGGGGCAGACAGTGAGAACAAGCAGCCGAGGGGAAAATTGCAGAGATGGTTGGCCCATCCATTTCCCCCTCCTTAACCCAGAGGAAACGAAATGTGTATGAAAGATTGTGTGTGAAAGACGGTTGTGGTGCAGTATACAGACTGGCTATTTCTACAGGTCCACACAAATGACAGTGTGTGACAGTGAATGCTAACTGAAAGCATCAGAAGTAATAACTTAAAGACAATTACACTCACCTCAAGAATTATTAGGAAAACCATACTAATACTGAGTTTGACCCCCTTTCACCTTCAGAAATGCCTTAATTCTACATGGCATTGAGTCAACAAGGTGCTGAAAGCATTCTTTAGAAATGTTGGTCCATATTGATAGGATAACATTTTTCAGTTGATGGAGATTTGTGGGATGCACATCGAGGACACAAAGCTCCCGTTCCACCACATACCAAAGAAGCTCTATTGTGTTGAGAGCTGGTGACTGTGGGGGCCATTTTAGTACAGTGAACTCATTGTCATGTTCAAGAAACCGATTTGAAATGATTTGAGCTTTGTGACATGGTGCATTATCCTGCTGGAAGTAGCCATCAGAGGATAGGCACATTGTGGCCATAAAGGGATGGACATGGTCAGAAACAATGCTCAGGTAGGCCGTGGCATTTAAACGATGCCCAATTGGCACTAATGGGGCCTAAAGTGTGCCGAGAAAACATCCCCCACACCATTACACCAATACCACCAGCCTGCACAGTGGTAACAAGGCATGATGCCCGTTGCGCAACAGTAGCAGTTTCACCCCCTACATTTGATACAACTGTGAAATTGAATAACATGCACACACTATCTTGTTGTGATTTTTCCAACCTCTTTGCTCATATCGAATGAAACGTTCCCTAAATGTTTCTTTAATACATATTTTAATTAAATGGGGTGGGCAAACGTGGGGAAATTATATTAAAGTTTGATATACATAGAGCAAAGAATACTTACAGATGAAGTGAAAAGTGTTCCAAGAAAACCCTCCCCCCACTGTATGGTATTACCTACGGTACTTACAACAAACTGGTATAAAATAAAATATAAATTCATTATGTGATCTTGGAAAGTGTACATAACTTCTCTTCTCAAAAAAAGTAAAATATCCAATTTTGTTTCTCCTTCAGCACTCAACCTAATTGTTTTTCTATTTTAATCTTGTGCTGACAGAGTCAAAGTAATAGTCACTGAGCCTGGCCAAGTCTCCAGTGTGTCTTCCATTAACAAGGAAGCTCTGAATCCAACATCCATCACTCTAAGCTGGAGATAACCTTCAGTCCAAACAAACTAAACCCAACATCAGCTCAGTCTCACAGCGGCAATCTCTCCAAAGCTTTGAGCTGTACCGGAGTGAGTCCTGTAGCTCTAATGAGTGGAAACATCCCATGTTACACATCCCCAGCAGTGGCCGCTGGCCTGGACTCTCTCTCTCTCTCAGCAGAGAGAACATTTATTTGTAATTGTTATTGACATATTGTGAGCCATGAGACAATGGGAGATCCCACTCTTCATCCGGTAGAAATTAATAGCCTGTGTCGGAGTCTCTGGACGCACAAACCTATTGCTTTTATTCTCTTGGAGCCCAAGCAAGAGATGAGGCAAGTGAAGTAAAAGACACATTGAGAGGAAGTTGGATTAATGAAACCGCTCGCATAATACAATACATCAAGAAAGAGAACCCCGCGGCACCAACTATCGCTCTGAGCTAGAAATATACTTAAAATCAATAAAAAAACTAAGTGATATAACATGAGCAACAGAGGTTTGTGACCTCAGAATTTGGCATTGAGCTCTCATTCTTTGAGTAACAAAGAGGTTAAATAAAAAGTCACAACTCTCAATTCCTTCTTCAAGAGAAATACTGTTACTTTTGAAGCCATCACAGCATCAGCGGAAAATGAGCTGACGTCTGTGACATTTCTGTGCTACATGATATACAAGTAAAAAAAAAAATTGTAATACTGAACCAGAAAACATGATGTAAAATGATACTGAAATACTTCAGCTTATGCCCTTCTTCTAGGTCACTGTTCAAAATAGTAGATTTGTGACACCGATCAGATGTTCTATATTTCTGGCGCAGGTTATTTCAATGACATTCAAATGTAAATCAGTAATGTAAGAAAATTCACGAAAACCACATTGGAAATATTTGCATTCAACCCATTTCTCCATGAACATCATTAACCATATAGCGGCAACATACCTAGTCATTTCACACCTAATTATATGACACGGTATGTAATTTCACATAACCAATACATTTCCAGTCAGCTGCACTGCCTATTATCATCAACATTCTCATTCACAGGACAGTAAAGCAATACATATCTTTCATCATTCAATTCAGCGCCCCAGCCTGTAATGAACTAACAGCAAAAGTAATCACGCAGCCATTAACAGCAATTAAGGCAGGGTTTAAAACCTTTAAGGGTCAGTACCTTTCATCTCTCCCATGTCTAAAGTCTTCCCTAGTTGTTCCAGCAGGTCTGCACGTGCTGCGTTCTTCTTGTGCTTTTTGCCGTCGTAGTGTTGCTGTGCCATTCCAGGGTTGTTGAACCAAGCATTACACAGCTGACAGTAGCGATCAGAATCCCGGTGCTGACGGGTCGAGCTCACAGGTGAAGTTTCTGAGGAGGGTGTTTTCACTGGACTAGGTGGTACCTCTGTTGAAACAAAACAAAACAAGGCTTACAATGGAATAGTCATTTAATATTAATTATTTTATATTTGGTGTAAGACTTTGGATTTGAGTGCAACAGCAAAAAATGCTGGGGGAAGGTGTGCTTAGTAAGTCTGCAGAGGTTTGGCAACCAAGGACAAGATGGTAAATTCTGTATATTGCTATATAAAACTTTAGTCAGTGGCAGAGAGTCCGTGCTTCTTTGTGACACACCCCTACATATTATAGGAGAGATTTACCGCAGGTTGCAGGAGACAACTTTTTTCTCCACACTCTCTGTACATCAAGTTTTATGTCGGACAAATTGAGAAAAAATACTGGTCAACAATATTTCTTGGCCATGAATCTGTACTTTGAATTATATTTATTTTTAAGATCCATGCAGTGCCATTCAAAAGTTTGGGGTGCAGTAACTTTTTTTTTTTAATTAAATAAGGAATAAATTACAGTATTATATATATCAAAGGGCTTTAAACGACACCAGATGATGAATAAGGGTCTTATTTAGGACTCTTCGAGTCATGACACGAAAAACGATTTGTTCATTTTGATGACGAGTTTGAACACGAGAGTCACGAACGCTCATCACAGAACAGAGCAAGGCGAGCATTTGTGCTTATAAAACGTAAACGTTTTTATTTATTTTTTAAATGACCGATCGTTTCGCTAGATAAGACCCTCTATTCATCGTCTGGTGTCGATCAGAGTATGTGAGCGGAGTGGAGTGGGAGCGGAGCGAGGAGTGGAGCGGCATGATTTTGAATGGAGCGCGGAGCGGATTTTTTAAAAGTCGGAGCGTCGTGGTTTTCACTCGCTCCGAGCGCGCTCCACTACCGCTCTATCACGAGGACAATTCATGCCAACGGCTCATTATAGAACTGCATTTTTAGTAAGGATTCACGTGTTAAACACATTACGCTAGCATGATACAGATGGATCACTCAAATCAGAAAAAAATGTGAGGGTTATGATGACGCCGATGGACATGAGTGGCTGCGGGAGGTTATAGTTATCAAGCCTGTACTGAATATGAGCGGGCACGATCTCATGAAAGTGCGAATCTATAGCACACATTTTATTTCTCGTGCCTATTATTATATGCCAAAAAATTGTTTGTGCATGCAAATGACGCACACTAAACCCCTTGGTTAGTATGGGTGTGAAGTGCGTTCTTGCCATTAAGTGCGTATCGTAGGCTATGCCCACGAGAAATAAAATATAGATAGCCTACGCACTTTTAATGAGATGGGGCGCTGGATCGGGCGGGGTGAAAGCACATTTTAAACAGGTAACACTCACCAACGCAATCGCTTTCTCACTAATGCATTGCATTCAAACAAATGTAATCATACAGTCGGCTATCTCTGTCAGTATTTGATTTTAAATGAGCATGAATCTGTGAGAAATGTAGCGACCCGTAGATAAATAACTGATGAAAACGTAGTTATTTTCTTCTTTCCAAACAAAATGTGCTCTGCAAAAAGCAGCAATGATATTTAATTTATAATGCTGATAACCTGTAATAAGCACAGTGGTGGAGGAAGTACTGAATCTCAGTACTTAAGTAAAAGTACAAATACCCAGATAAATATTTACTTTAATAAAAGTAGAAGTAACACAATGACAACCATACTTAAGTAAAAAGTAAAAAGTACTTTATTTTAAATGTACTTTAAGTATTAAAAGTAAAAGTACTTGCATAACAATTTATTATTTTAATGTCTATTTTCTAATGATTAATAAACATTTAATTCTAACTCATTCAACCTAATAGCCTACTCCTATAATGATGTTCAATAATGATGGAAAAAAATGTCACCATTTCTGAAACAAGCTTGCAATTAGGCAATATCATGCTTATCCTTACTATATGTTAATAACTATGTTTGGCAGTAAACGCGATTCATTTATGGTGTAATTCTGAACCTCTTGGCTTGCCATAATCCTAACCAAACCAAACATATATCACACACGGTGTGTTTCCTATGCACGTAAAAACAATTTCGCGTATGAGTTGCATGATAAACACACTGCGTATGAGACGCATTTAGTGTGACCGGGTTGATATACTGTATCTATGGCAACCGAACGTCACTGGTGAGACGAACGTGCAACGAACGGATGGTCAGGTTACGTTTTGGCAGGGGAAAAACTGATCAGAAAATGTAACGAAAATGTAACAGAAGTTGTAGAAATGTAGTGGAGTAGAAAGTAAAATAATTGCTGCGAAATGTAACGAAGTAAAAGTAAAAAGTAGGCACTATTTATTGTACTTAAGTAAAGTAAAGATACGTGAAAAATGTACTTAAGTAAAGTAACGAAGTATTTGTACTTCGTTACATTCCACCACTGAATAAGCATGTCATAGGAAAAGTTTGCACACTATCCAAATCCAATAAACAACATTGCAACTATTCTCCTAACGTTGTTTTTTTTATTTATTTACTATGCCTATGTATCTATTATGATGAGGAGACATTTTGTGAGATTTTAAAGCATACTTAAATACTTTATTCGGAATTTCCTTGGGGAGCGAACACGGAGCGGTGTTTCTGATATCAGTGAGCGAGGAGTGGAGCAGGAGCGGTAAATGGTGAACCCGGAGCGGAGCTGGAGCGGAGTGATTATATAATGCTTGGAGCGTGGAGGGGAAATTGTTGCCGCTCCACTCCGCTCACATACTCTGGTGTCGATTAAAGCCCTTCAAGCTGCACTGAAACTGTCATTTGGACCTTGAACCATTTGGTTTCCATTGAAGTCCATTATATGGAGAAAATCCTGGAATGTTTTCATCAAAAACCTTCATTTCCTTTCGACTGAAGAGAGAAAGACATGGACATCTTGGATGACATGGGGGTGAGTAAATTATCAGCAAAAGTTTTTTTTTTTTTTTTTTTAAGTGAACTACTCCTTTAAGAGACTTCTATCAAAATCATTTAAAAATCTTACTTTTCCAAACTTAAGAAAAAATTGTGTAAATGTATCCATTTTCCATTAATATTTTGGACAAACATGTGACATGATGTCACTTTCAACCTAACAGTCGTTCAACTGCACATGGTAGAAAAATTGTGATTTTTTTTCTTTCTTTTTATTTTGGAGACTTAATGTTTAATAATATTCTTGACATTTGTTGCAACAGACTTTGAGAAAAAAAAGCCTTTAGGCATCATATAAACAAAAAGTTGTTAAAATAAGTGAGGGTCAGAAAATGTTTTACTACTTCTTTGTTTTGAATAGCTCACATCAGTTACATAATGAGAGTCAGACTATCTGTCTTAAAGCATGCAATGTTGCCTTTTGTAATACAATTACCCAATGGCACTGAACTTTGTTTTATTTACTTGCCAAATAAGTCTTACACTCAATTGGCACTTAAAGAATATGATTTTTGACCCTGGTTGCAATACAGATACTGTAGCTTAAAGATTTTTGGACCCTGTCTCCATAAGTAAAAGCTCAGAAAGCAAATGAGTTAATCCTCAGCTGTGTAAGTACATTTTACTGCTTGGATAACCCAATGAAACAAAAAAAATGTTCTGTTTTATTCTTGTTCAATGACAACTTGGATACTAGAATCAAAAATTATTTCTGACCTTGACAGCAACACAATTACTGAGATTTTATGTCCTTCTGTTTAGATGTCTATTCTGCTATACAACTAACAAGCCGTTGTCATTGAATTTAACAAGATGGTGAAGTTTTTCATTGTTTGACCCACAAAGCCAAGCCTCTTTGCGGTACATTTTGGCTTTTAAGCATTCCTATGCATGAATGTCACCATCACGTCATCATCAGTTTTAACACCTCAGTGGCTGCCCACTCTGCCATAGACGATGTTTACAAAAGCTCTGTTCACCATTAGACATAACATCATATTATTCATCAGAGAAGACAATTGGGGAGACCACTTTGTGTCTCAGTTTGTCAGTGTTCATAGGTGTCATTTAGTGATCTGACCCAGTATCTTTTCCAGAGTTAACAATTCAACATAGACTTACACAGAACTTAAAGGGAATAAAGTAAGTAGTCATTTAAGTTACAAATTATGGTGGAGGAAATCGAATTCTGTTCTTCAGCCAGCAGCCGTACTACCCTGTAGCTCAAAAACAGGACATTTAAACCCTGCCAAAATGTGTCTATTAGTCATTCAGTCGGGTTTTCACTCTTTTCACTTTCTTTCGAGCTGGGTTGATGAAAGTATAATGCACGCTTTAGTTGGGTCACAAAATGTAATTTAGGCAATTAACAACCACTGCTGCAAAACTGAAATTTGATACTGTAAATTAAAAAGCTATTTGAGATGAAAATTTAATGAAGATAAATGAGCTGCCACAAGAGAGGATGACAGTACATGAGCAAGCAACTTCATTTCAATAAAGCTTAATTTAGATATTTATAACTGACAGTGATTCTCTGTTAAGAAATGTTGCAGAGCCCATCCGTTCATGTCACTTTTAAAACACAAAGCAATTGCTTTAAAGTCATTCAATTAATTAATCCAGTCTGAAGTATGCACACCTCTTCCTATTGAATATTTAGATAAACAAGCATTTTTATGTGTGGCAAGGCTAAGCTAAGTGTGTGAAGAACAAATGTTGCCTTGACAAACCAAATGTTATAAGTGCAACAGGCAAATTTAATATACAAAATGACAGGAAAATAATGCACACACATACACACATGTGTAAAACTGCCTTAAGCCCTGGCTGCAGTTATTGGAGTATCTGACATACTCTTGCTGTATAACACTATGGATATTAGCAGAATCCGGCGCTGAAACATTGGAGTATTGATTTACAAGCTCAGGGGTATACAGACTGACATCCATCAAAAGGAAAAACAGGAAAGATTCTAGTTTCCAGGAAACAAACACAAGAGCATCCCTGTACAAGATAACCCCGTTTCATTTTACCAGATGTGTGTCTATATAATTTTTTGGCCTTTTGTATACAGGGTCAGCAAGCTTTTTGGCATTATTTA